AACACGATGGGTTGGTTCTGGCAGAAGAAACCTTAGTGACAAGAGAGAGAGAGAGGACACTGACACACACTGGTGACAGCCCAGAGAGAGAGAGAGGACACTGACACACACTGGTGACTGCCCAGAGAGAGAGAGAGGGGACACTGTCGCACACTATTCACAGAATTGCAGTCTGAAGACAAAAGAATTGATAGCACATGCATATAAAATCTATGGTATGGCTGTTTCACAAAATGGGTTCAGAAGAATGGAATGTACTGTATCTTTTTACAGCCTTGGCTCAATGAAAGCTGTTTAAGTGAAGTGTAAAACCAGTTTATGTTTAAGTGAAGAGGCAGAGGGCCCGTCATTTTAAAAACTGCATTTCGGTGACATTCAATCCGAAGTATCAGTCAAACCTCACTGGCCAAACGACCTCTAGGCACGTGTGGACACTCAACAAGCACAGACAACCGCTTACATACAAAGAGATCGTAACACTCACTACACAAGCTCAACTCTGTAGATCAAACCAAGCAGGAAGTACATGGATGCCTTCTTTGCAACCGTGAAGCTCATCCTTACCCGGGCACCACCAGCTTCTGTCCGTTGTGTATCCGAAAGGAGCAGCGGTAATCAGTGGGCAGCTTGCAGCCAATCTGGGCTTCGACAGCATCGAGCTCCTCTTCTTTCACACCCTCTGAAGAACCATCAACAAAGTGGCACAGCCAGGGACGTTAAAATTAGGAACAGACCACTGCATTTATTACCTATGGCAAATGTCTTTTTAGGTAAGCAGCAAACAGTGAAACATTACAGCATAGTTAACCCTCAGCCTCAGATCTTTTCTTCTGTATTTACAGATCAATAATAGGTAGTGGAGGGTGTCTGACATTCCCATTAGTTCAGTTTCTGGAAGAGAAAACCAAAAGAATTTCTACTGGTCTCCATCTGTAATTTGGATCCACTTCATGCAATAATTCAATAATGCATGACCAAACTACGGTACTTTTAAAACACTCCATGGCAGGATTCCACTACCTTTCAGCGAGACAATCATTCTTGGGCTCTTCTGCTCGAGATATCTCTTCAGGTCGTCCCAGGCTTTCTTTAGAGTGGCATAATGATCAATATAGCGTCCCAGGTCTGAGTAGAACTCCTTGAACAAGTCCTTCCAGCTCTGATTCCTCTGGGCTTTATCTGACCTGATGAATACAGGAGTACATATCAACCAGGCATTTCTATAACAGCCCCTCAGGAATCACCATCAAAAAAGGATTTATAGATCGCTTAAAAAGCACAGGCTGCTGAAGAGCTGGGAATGAGGCTGACTTTATTATTGGCCTTTTAAGTAAGTAACGATATCAATTAAGTAATTATGGACTTGTATGAGATTCTGGGAAATTAAAGGGTACAGACTCCGTATTAGTAATACAGTATCACAGCTCCATTCCAGAAATTATAACCAACAAAAGAGTTCTGTCTCTGTAATGATTAATACTTATATATATCCTAGCTAGGCTTCTCTGGGACAGTTTCACAGGCATGAAGTATAATGTGGGCTCAATGTCTCACAAACTGTTTTCTACAATTTGCATCTTGCTAATAAAAGGTAGGATATTTTGGATCTTGTGCCCTCTCACTAATTATGTAACAACGCCTTGTTAATTTTGTTCATCTGTGTGAAATGAATTGGAGAAAAACTCACTTTGCTGTTGGTTCAACCTTTACAGAGAATGACCCAAGAAGAAGAAATAATACTTACACACATTAAAACAGGCATCATGCTTTGATCTGCAGCATCAGGTATTTATATGTTGACAACTAAAACAACTCCTACTATTCATACAAAGCAAGACCTGTTCTCATAAGCAAGATGCACTACTTATTTTGGACAGGATAAAGAGAGTATGAATTCAAATCATTTATTTTCAACTAAATGCAGTTTTATTTGTTTTATGACTATAGAAAAACAACAGCTTAATATGTTCCAGATATGTATAGAAATGAGCAAGGTGGGTTTTACATCGACAAACAGCAGTACTAAATGGGGAAAGGGCACAATACCGGAGACACACTTTACTCACTCTGTTAAAAGCCAATATTTCTGGCATTGAGGTTTCCACAGCGGATTGTGGTTGGAAAGTGCATGGAGCCTTCGGCTGACATAGCTGCAGCTGAGAACACACAACGTATTGATTTCGGGTCAGGATGTTAATGGTTTAGTGGTGAAAACAAAGCCGGAGTATGTCGGCAGAATCTACCTGTCTCTATCGATCATGCATGTCAATACACAATTAGGAAAGAAGTGTATTGTATATCGAACAGACAGCTGAAAATATGATCCTGAAACAGCATTCAAAGTATGTAAGCGACAATAAAGTTTAAAACATCCTAGTAAATACAATTGATAAAAGCACATTTTACACAATGCTATAGGGCCTCGTCAAAACTGTTTAAGGTAGAGAGATATGACATTCTATTTTCTACAAAACCAGGCATCTCCATTGAGGAAAAAAAAGTATTTATTTACTGCTTTATACATTACAGATTCGCTGTGATGATCATTAACAAGTTTCGCAACACAAAAACACCTGTTTTGTGCAAACATTTTCTATTAAACTACATGTTGTGTCTTAAATCAAGAACTTCCCACAGAGGTTTAACAATCATATCAACGATGATTAGGTGTCAAGTACAAATGTGTTTTCATCTGAAGAGATCGTTTTGCTGCTCTTCTTAAACACGCAATAACCAATCTCCTGTCAACACCTATTAAAAGTTGTCACGAAACTCAACACGATGGGTTGGTTCTGGCAGAAGAAACCTTATATAGGCACATAAAGAACCACAAGGCCACAAAATGGATGTTTTGAAACGGAGAAATGCCATAGTCACCTCACACCGTGAGGATGTTATGCAACAATAACCTGTCATTGCTATTCTAAATACAAGCATGATCCGACAACTGAATTTCCCACTTCAACGAAAAACAATCTGCTGTCATTGGCAAATAACAAGGGCAACACTTTATTTGGACCTACACCTATTCCGACGTAAAGCACCGAAAAACAAACAAACAATTTAACAACAACAAAAATCCAAATAATAATTTCTTTCCTATCTCCGAAAACAACCACCTGACCGGAGTTAGGCAAACAGACACGGGGAAACTATTAACGTACGACATTCACGCAGCCGTGCCTTTTGTGCCACTCGGTGTACAGGCGGTCCAAGGCTGCCGGGCGGCGGGGAAAACTCACCTTATCAGATCTCTGAAATCGAGGAACGATAAAATCAGCAGTAAAGGATCCGAAGGCAAAACCTCCAAACTGAGCTCCATGGACGCCGCCATCTTGGAACCTGGCAGACAGGAGCCCCTCCCCCCCGTGCAAGAGGGCGGGGCAGCACGCTGCTTTGTTATCAAATAGTTCGCACATGTGGCGAGCGCAAGATGCCCATGTGGATTAGGCGAAGGTGTACGCGCTTGCACATGGCGGTCGTCCTGTCTTTACCCTGGCTGCGGGAGATGGAAAACAACCGTGACATATCCTCCTCCCCGCTGCCCCCTCCCAGCTTTTCCCGTGCTCTGTGATGAGGTGCTTATCGGACAACGGGGTCCGTGGGGGAAAACTCAGAAGTTGTTCGTGGGGAATGCCCTCCGCGGTAGCCAGGGGAAAAGAAAACAACTCATTCCACAGATCTACTGCAGCAGTCTGGGTTACATCTGCCCTCTTTGGTGGTTGATCTGCTCTGAAAAACGCTTGTGGTGGATTTCTTGACCTGCCGGTGCACGTAACACTTGCATACTTTGTAATGTATAGTCGTACGTACCGGTACCTCCCGCACCAGGGACTGCGGGAATGAAAGATTTTCCGATTATGTGTCAGAGGTATTCCGTAAGAACACAAGAGAATATTCTTTTGTAAGAATATAATAGTGTCTCCTCTCTCTTGTAACCTTTCCTTGCGTTTTTCTGTTATCATAAGACTAAAGAAGACCTATTTCCGAGATAAGGTGTTTAAAACCTTATCCTCTGGAAACAGCTGGCTAAAACGCAGCCGTTTTTTATCCCTGTTTCGGATTTATGAGGCTTTTTTAAAAACCACCAGATGGCAACAAAGAGGCACGTTTTGCCGACAGGGCTAAAGTGAAGCCCAAGCTAGTGTCTCATCGTGACGTAACATGGATTTTGTACTATAGCTTGCTTACTTCCGGGTCTATTACATAATTATCCAAAGGACCAGAAAGCTAATATGTACATATTTGGGCTCTTTTAGAGCATTTTGATATATTTATAAATTCTTTAATTTTTACATAAAAAGCCCAAAACTGTTGTGAGATGCACACAGAGGTGCATCAATATAAACACTGACTGTATTTTTAAATGTTTTGTTGGAGTTCTCTGTGAATGTAAACTATATTCATTCACATCTACTGGATTCATGTTGCAAGGCCCAATAGCTTTCTCTGGAGAGATTTCAATTTTTTATGTTAACCCTCATACAAATCTATTGTCTTCCGTAGACTGATTATAGCAAACTGGCCAAGTAAAAATCCAGAGATTCACAACAGACCTGCCTCCTAGACCCAGTATTATGTTTAAAAACAGGAAATACATTGACTATTCTAGCCACTTTTCCTCCTGCTACGCTTTCACTGAAAGCTATAAGAGTAATAAAGCAAGTGATTCTAATACCATATATTCCAATACCTGCCCTAGGCTAGGACTGTTAGCCCTTCATCTGCTCATGCACAGACAGCATGTTGCACTATTGTACTTTCTGGACACTCAATCTGTATATACCTATGCGCATTTTGCTCACATTTTATTGTTTTACAGTGACTATGAGCATATTTTGCACACACCTAACTCTATATATTGATTTTGTATTGCTGTACTTTTAGTCTATTCTGATGTCTGTTTTTGCTTGTCTTGGGCTGGGCTGCTGTAACACCTCAATTTCCCTTCGGGATCAATAAAGCCTTATCTATCTATCTGTCTGGGAACAGATGTGAACCTGGTTCAATATCGTGTCACCAGCAGAGCTTTCTTCACATAATGAACAGGGCAAATATTTGTGAAGGGGGACGCTCTGGGCAGTGCAAAGAATATATTTTTAGGAGAGAATCGTGCTTTAGGCACTGCACAGTCAGTCTCCTGTGTACCTTCAAGATTTACAATAAAGTGTTAGAGGATCAAGCATTTTTCAGCTTCCCACCCTTGGAAAACGCTTCCTCATCGTATCCAAAAAGCTCCTGAGGTTTTTTAAATCTCTCCTCAAAACTTACTTGTTTTCAATGGCCAATTCCAATTCTTAACCAAATTCTTTTTTTTTCTTAATTTGATATTTATACAACTATTTTGTATTTTCTTTTCTTTTTTTTCTGCATGCTGTACATCGTTTGAATTTGTATTTATGTAAAGTGCCTTGACAGTGCCCGGGATTGAAAGGCGCTGTATACAAATAAAATTGATTGACATATTGGTATGACCTATTTGTAATTTGTCATTTGTAATGATCATACGTCCCTTACGCAATTATTTAGGCTAAATAATTAAGGATGATCCCTGCCTGATACCTGCAGTATCAATCAACAGCTTCGTCTCTGTGAGGCAGGGGATTCTTTGGAAAACCCAGTCAAGTCACATACAATGAACCAGAGAAAATTGTATGATAAAATAATAATACAGTCTGTCTGGCAACAGTACAACATGACAGTAGCTGAGCACCCATCTTCACTTCTGTACCCTGTTGCACTGCCCTGGACTGAGTAAAAATGAAGTTGGCCTCCTCTAATGTCGGGAATGTCAGCAGAGACTAGGCTCTGTAGAGAGACACAGATATCTATCTGGCTGCAGCGCCGCCCCACAGCCTTGTTAACTATCAGAGGAGATACATGGAAGGACATTCAGGGGCAGCACTTTAAAAAAGGGGTAAGAGGGGAGTTGGTCCTGAGATCAAGACTGGCAGGTTTAGGGCCCTGGAGCAAGGCGGAGACGTCTCTGTCAGAGAGGGGTGTGAAGGGGTTTAAGGAAGGAGAGCTTGTGCAGGAAGCAGGAGAGGGGTTTGTGGAGGGGAGGTGGTGGCTGAAGGGTTTGTGGAGATGAGAGATTTTGGAGGTGACCCTGATGAGGCAGTGATTCACATGGTAGAAGGGGTTGGAGAAGAGCACACCAGGCCTGTAGGCAGAAGAACAGTTGGATGATAGACAGGGAGTAGGAATGTTTGGCAGAGGCAAGGGCAGAGAGAAGGAGCTGAAAGAAGACAGGGACAGCCACCTCAGATCTCCTGCATTCATTTTCAGCTGAGTGCAGCTCGTGGCTGAGGGGAGAATGGAGGAGAGCCGGGCCAGGGGAGGCAGGCTGAGAAGTGAAGGGCCCTGGTGGGGTCAGGTCTGCCCTGAGCAGGGGAAGCAGACAGAGGGCAGAGGCGGCGCCCAGAGGCGACAGCCGAGGCTGGTGGTGGAGGAATATGGGAGTGAGAGAGGGAAGGAGAGCAGAAAGCGAGGGAGCTAGTCAAGGGGGGTGGGGGAGAGGGTGGAGGGAGGAGTGGGGGCAGTCCCTGGACAGCTGCCTTTGTGAGCAATGGCAGAGGAAGAGAGAGAGAGAGAAGCTGAAAGAGTGCAGAAGGGGTAGTGTCCCTGCCGTGGAGTTGTGATTGGAAAGATGGAGGTTGCAGTCACCTGGCAGGGTCGCGGGGATCGCAGTGCTGCGTCGCTGTTCCATTTTTGAGTCCATCACAGTTAACTTGTTCCTTATAATCCCGAAGCACGTGTTATAATAAAAGAAAAAATAATGGCAGATAAATGGTTTGTAATAAATGGTTGAATAAAAATAGGGTTTATGTAAATAATACTTAACATTAACACTAGTGACATTGGTAGGAATAGAACTGGTCACAGTACCATGAGAAGAGAACAGGTTTTTCTAACAAAATGAAGAGTTCATATCAAATCGGTGTTTTTGCTGTCGAAGAGTTAATGGTTGTAATGAGATTTGCCCTTTTGCTACGTCACACAGATCTTACACATCAGAGTCTCAGAGGAGGCAGAGGGAGGAGGGGAGTGGGAGCAGCATCAATGAAGCAGCCTTCATTCTGAACGAGCCGCGAGTGGCACTGCTCCCAGCGCCTCGTCTCTCTCGCTCTCGCCTCCTCCCCGGATTCATCAGAGGAGACGAGAGGAACCGCCGTCCTTCCACACCAGTGTGCCGAGGGAAATATCCCGTTTCCACGCTGGATGAGCAGAGCAGGGAATCCCAGCAGTGCAGGAGCAGCTCAGTCTTATAGCTGGTCCTTGTCGAAACTGGGGGGAACAGCCCAATTTTAATGCGGACGTTCGAGGACTTTTAATGATGTGGTTGAAGGACTAAGAAGACAGTATTTTCACTCCTATTTTTCCTGTGGCTCCAGCATGATTTTCTCTACCCCCATCATTGCCTTGGGTGCCACTCTGGGCACAGCTTCAGGTATTCTTGCTGTATGCGGGCTGTCACTTCTCTGCAAGTCTTACAGGAAGGGGCTGTCTGAGCAAGACACAGAAACAGACCCGGAGAAGACAAAACCTAGTGTCCTCCACTCCGCCCAGCAGGTAAACCCTTTGGCAAATACAGCGTTGTGTGGACGTGCGTCTGTGCATGTGTTCCTGCAAGGTTTTTAATTTAGGAAGTGACAGGCAAAACTGTTAGCGCTGGGTAAAGATACAGGGGTGAATCAGAGACACAACATCTGAACGGTTCCAGATTAAAGCAGTGTGAGACAGGAGTACAGATGTGCAGGTTAAGGTTTGTGTAGCACAAAACACTGCTCCAGCCTGTACCACCTGCACTGTGTTTCAATACCGAAACTGGAGTATTAACTGTCTGGTAATACTGTATAAAAACTCTCCCAGTGAAGTGCAATCAGTTAATTGGGCATTATTGTAGGTTTAGGGAGTCTTTCCAATATGAATACAATAAATGTTTAGTTTAATGATTTTACTATACATGCTCCTGTTCAACTAACCTTTGACTCTTCAATTGACATGAAGAAAAACAGCAAACACTTAGTTCTGTTTGAAGCATCAAACAGCTGAAATTTCTGAAATTTGCTGAAATTTCCAAACAGAATGTTGTGCCTGTATGTTCCTTTTTTGTCACACAACACCTGACATACCAGCTAAGACGGTCAAATTGTAAAGCCCCCTTCTGATGCAGGACATTGTCACATTAGGGCAAAATGTGATTTAAAATCCTTTTTGTCTTGTTTTTCAATTAGTTTTTTCAAGGATTCCCGATATTCTTGGCAGACTTGGCGATTCTTGCAATCTCCAGTTTAGAGCTAGAAATGTGCATTTAAAGCTCAAATCCGAAGTGAGACCAGGAACGTGAGGCATAGACAGAGAGAGGCTGAGTGAGTGGTAAAGCACAGAGAAATGACCCAGTAACCTGGGCGACTGCTGTCTGAGAAAACCTTATCGTTGCACATACCCCCTGTACAAACTGTTCAGCTCCCAGTGCAGATTATTCCCTGGAGAGCTCTAACCCTAGATGTCTAATTTAAAATCCTTGGCCATTCAAAGACATTTTTGTTTTTGCAGCTATGAGCAGAGATTTTATGATTTTTATTTTTGTAATGTCTGGCAAACACATTAGGAGTCCGAACGAGTCAGTTTTGCTGTTGAAGACTAAAAAACAAACAGATGATTCTAGACAAAAAAAGATCTGCTTACTGCTGCTATCATGTGTCAATGACTGGGCAATCCATGACTGACTAAATCTTCTTTTTAATCAATTTCTTCACAACACAACACTTTTTAAAATATTATCTGGAATTCTGGAATACAACAAGCAGCTCAATGGAATGTTTTTCTCTGTGAAGAATCTCCTGCTATTCACCCTTTGCTTCACATTGTACGATAATAATTTTACAGTAAATTGAATAAAGGCTGGGGTTTAGTGTGGCTCTCTCTGTCGTTCTCTGATAGGATTGCTTTGAGATCTCATTGGTGGGCTGTTAATTTCATGAACTGACTATTTGCCTATTTCCTTACGCGTGGTGGGAAATATACAAAATGTAAATTTAACCCCAATATTTATATATTTATATAAATATTTCACATTTCTGTAGTCCAGCATTTTGGAATTTTTGGGTTATTCAAGTCATATTCCCTTTTCTTCAGAAAAGAAATGTATGTCTGGAGGCTTCAAGATGCAGCGTTTTTTGTACACAAATAGTTTAGATTTTCTGTGTGAAAGAAGGAAATGAAATTATCAGTTTGATTTAACATACTGTACACCAAGTAAGATGATCTCTTCAGATCTATATTGCCCCTCACAATGTCTATAGCGAGTTCATTTTTCATCTGAAGCAGGCCATTACTGCTTTTAACAAGCCCTAATAGAGCAAAAGGTAATTCTATTTTTTCTGCTGCTGGGTAGTGGGTTCATAATAACGATGGTGAAAGCAGCAAACCAAATGGAAACCTTGAATTTAGTTTGTTTGGGTGTAATGTGATAGATCAATCCCATGCTGCCCCCTAACAGTGAATATCAAAGTATTGTGAGGCGAAGTGTTCTATATTTAGCATTCGAAAATGAGGAAGGCAGCTCACTTTTCCGTGGGTGCTGCAGTTGAGTGGCACCATCCATCAGCTCGTGAGCCTGAAATCCCGTCCCTGGAGGGCAGGGACTCTGGTCTCTACACTGGGCAGTACCGCATGTTCTTCTGCAAGAAGCTCTTTCTTTGGGGAATGGAGCAAGACAGCCTCCCTCTGACACGGTGTGCAAACAGCCGTTGACTAACCTCGCCTTACTTGAGCATTTCCGTCTGCCCTCTGGGGTTTTCTGCCAGAGTTGCTGTCACAGATATTTGTCCTCGACACCTCCTCCTCAGTGCTCTCTCGGTGCCCCCACCACGTCCCACAGTTTCTCAATCACACGGAGTAAGAGACTGTTAATAAATAGCTGCTTGGCGTCAAAATGTATTCTTCATAAACTGACATCATCGATACGCCATCAGCTTAGTCTCACTTATTCCTTACAACCTAAGCGGGGATCTCAAAATCAATTTATGTAGTTTTCAGTGTCTTGTACTTTTTCAATTAAACAATTAACCTAATTATTTTATGAGTTAATAGGGTTTATCCAGAGGTGTTTCACAACTGATTTCTCGAAACACTGCCTTCGTAGAAATGAATGTTACATATAAAATACCTTGGAGCCTGGCTAGAAATATAACAGTTCTGCAGCTTATTAAGTAGTCTGATTGCATAGCACGGTTGTCTAATTAAGGCAGGTGTAACTAAGCCCATGAGACATTTGTGTATTTGAGAGCACTGCTCATGCCCCAGACTTTGAACCACCCACAAAGGCCAAATAAAAAAACTCAACGTTTTGATGATAGTGGGATTGAGATTGCGTGATTAACAGAAGGGTCGGGGCCTGGGCTTCACCGAGTCCTCAGTTCATTCGTTTTCTTTCCTCCATTCCTCCTTTCCTCTAAGTCTCGAAAGCGTGCCAGATGAACACGGACAGCTGTGTAACACAAACAGCCATTCCTGAGCTTTCGTGCGACCATTTAATGCCTTTTATATATTTATATATTTATATATATTTGACAGCCGGAAACATGAACGTGTAATAAGATGGCTCTTTTTCAGCGTGCAAATGACCATGATATGTAACATAACAAGCAAGTTACCTGAACCTATGTGTCTGTACAGCATGTTATTTACACTGATCTCGGGCAATACAGTGATTACAAAGCACTGCAACCCATTTGGCAGCTGCAGATTTTTAACTTCATTCTTAATGCTCTCTATTGTCTTACGGAAAGCGGCAGTGTGAGGGATAGCTGCCTTTGGGCGCTAGTGGCCCCCCTGGGGTGAGGGGTCGCTGATTCAGACATTACATGAAAAAGACAGGAAGACAGGAAAAGATGGAGCCAGAGAGACAAAAGACCTGTCCCCCTCCCCCTCCTCCCACTTGCTCCCCGCATTGTGTGTGTGCCTAGGCGGCCCGGGAGCATTCCTGCCCTTCGCCTAGCGCTGCTCTTTAAAATGGGAAACGTTGGGCCATTTTATTTTCCTCCCTGCTTCCCAGCCTCCCTGCTCTGTCGAGGGGGAGGAACACTGAGCAACACTTTCTTTTTCAGCTCCCCCGCCTTGAGCTCTTAACCTCGGAAGCGCCACACAGCTTGCAGGGGTTGTATTGCTCTAAACAGCATGGTTTCTATTCTAGAATGTGCTGCAGTTCCTATTATTATTTTGTGTGCGTGCGCAGGTGAATATGAATGTGCGATGTGTGATTTGAGGCTTCAGAGAGGTAATCCTGTGTTGTGCACTTCAGCAGGTGAGCCTGGGAAATCTGGA